CGCGGAGGACGCAGGGGCGCGGGACGCGGGCACTGCGGCGGCCGGAGCGCGCCAGGCGAGTGGGACCCGGGGCTGGGTCGGGGTTCGAGGCCGGTTCGCGGCTCCGGGGTGATCACCGCTCTTCCCCACCTCCCACCCTGGGCAGGACCTCGCGGGTGTCCGGGAGCCGCTCCCAGCAGCTCCACTCTCTGCCCAAACTTCGGGGACTTGGAGCGCCACGGCACCCGCGCTCTGCGGGGTCCGCATGTTTCCCTGGCCCTGTCTCCGCCTCCCAAACCCGCGCTCGTCCCTCCCCCGTGCCCCGCCGATGTCGCCCATCCCTGCCCCCCTGCCCCTCTGCTCGCTGCCCCTCTCTGCCCCGTCCCCCCCTCTGCCCTGTCCCCAGCCCCCAGGCGGCGGGGAGGCGTCCGGGCCTTGCCTGGCTGCCGGGCCGGCGAGGAGAGCTGCAGCTGTTTGCCATTAGCCGGGGACCCCGCGGGCCCCGCCTCCTCCCTGCGCGGGGCGGGGGCCTGGGGGCAGGAGGGGGGCAGGAAAACCAACAAAAATGCCTGCGCTGGTGGAGAGGCGCTTTGGGGAGGCCCTTGCACCCCTTCCCTGAGCTCCTCTCTCTGTCCCTTGTCGGAGTGCCTTGTCCTGTCTGTGCCCTCCAGGGAGCCTATAGCACACTTTCTTTTCACCCCACTGCATGAAGGGTGATCGGTGGCTGGAGACCCCCCAGCCTCAGTCTTTGTGTCTGAGAAATGGGTAAGGGCTGGCATCTGGGAGTGGTGGTGGAGCTTGGACTCAAATCTGGGCCAAATAACCATTCCCTCACTGCCCACATGATCCTGGGCAAGTCGCTGCTCTTCTTGTGCCATTTAATTTCCCCATATGTAAACCAAGCTACCAACTACCCACCTTATAGATTGTCATGACAATTAAAACAGCCGCTGGGTGCAGTGACATGTATGTGCTCGTGATCCCTGTACTCAGGGAGGCTGAGGCAGGTGGATGATTAGTTCGAGTCCAGTCTAAGCAACTAAAAAAGGTCCACATCAAAATAACAGATGGAAAAGCGGGGTTGGGGATGTAGCTCAGTGGTAGAGCGCTGCTGGGCTCAATTCTCAGTACTGGCCAAAAAAAAAAGTCAAAATTGCTGTTATCGTTATTCTTACCATTATTAATATTTGCTCCACCTCCAGTGCCACCACCCTGGCCTTTTCCCCTCCCACTGCCTTTGGACCCCTCTTAGGTCCCCAGAGAACACTTTGGGTCAATTTCCTGTTGCTCAGGGGGATGAGGCTCCCCGCAGATGGCAAAGCAGATTTCCTATAATCGGTGACCTGGTGACCGTTCCAGGTGTTGACAGTGAAGACAGGACGGAGACGTAGAGAGACGTGGAGAGACAGAGACGCGGAGAGACAGAGACGTGGAGAGACAGAGACGCGGAGAGACAGAGACGCGGAGTGACACAGAGACAGGCGTGGAGAAGCGAAGAGAGAGACTAAGTGATCCGGGAGGAGGGGACAAGGACAAAGGACGCTCAGCTGCCCCGGCCCCAGCCTTCATGCCCGCCAGGGGCCCCACCTGGTCCATCCTCCCAGGTACCCGGAGCCCGGCACCCCTAGGCTGGAAGGGTCCCCTTTGGCGGCGGGGTGCGCGGAGGTCCCTCCAGCGGGGTGGCGGTGGGTCTGACGGCCGAAGGGACTGCAGTCAGTTCAGGCAGGGTGTCAGGGACCAAAGGGCCCTGGCCGATCTCCAGGGCCGGAGGCGCCCTTAGTGAGAGGCTCTGATTGTCCCTCCCTCCTGGCACCTCTGGGCACCCCTCTTGCTTCCTACCCCCACCCCCACGACTTCCCGGGCCTCCGCCCTGGCCCTGTATCCCTGCTGTGCCCTGAGCCCGGACGCATCCTGGGGGGGCAGGAAGTTCTGTGTAGCGGCAGCGAAACTGTTTATTTTTAGAGAAAATTGTTTCCATAAAGGGGAAAGGCTTTGCCGTGTGCTACCGCCCCCCACTTTCCCTGCCCCCCATCGTTGGGCCTGGCCTGACCCCGCTCTCTGCTTTGGGGTCACTTAGCGGCCTCTGTTCCCCACCCCCATGCCCCGTGTCCTCCTTTTGTCCCGAGTGTCCATCTTCCTGGACCCTCGCAGTGGCCCAGCCCCCTCCCCGGCCAGCCCCATCTTTCCCTGTGGCTGACTCAGGCCTGGCTGTGGGAAGGGGGTACAGGAAGGATGGGGTTGTCGGGCTTGGGGCCCCCAGTCGGGGGCCATGTGGAGGCAGGGCTGCGGGAACAGCTGGAGCCTGTCCAGCGGCTGGACAGATGTGCACGCAGGCAGGGTGCCTCGCTCTTTGTTCCAGGACTTTCACAGCCGGGCTGGGTGTGCATGAGGGGAGGGCCCCCCCATGCCTGCAGACGCTGCCTGACCCCGGCCCCACCACCCCCTGTCCCCAGCTCAGCCTCGGCCGGTGCTTCCCGCAGTCTGACTTGCAGGCCCCCAGCACCTCCTGCGGACGGACGGACGGAGGAGACGAGAGGAGAGGATGGCCCAGGTCCTGCACGCGCCCGCCCCGTTCCCAGGTCAGGGCTCCGAGCGGGGAGGCACGGCTGCGCCCCGTAGGTCTGCGCGAGGGGCGAGGGCCCGGCAGGCCCTGGGAGGAGGACCGGGCAGTCCTGCTGGGAAGAAGAGGGGGCCTGAGGGGGCCGTGGCGCCGACCTGGGACGTGCAGGAAGACAGGGCCGGGGCTGCGGGGAGACCGCTGTGCCCTGCGGCAGCCGAGGCGGGACGCATTTCTGCTGGAGGGGGCTTCACTTGAGAGAGCAGAAAGGACCAGGGCCTGGGGACTCAGGGAGGGACGCGGCCCAGTACTGAGGGTCTGAGGCGGGAGGGGCCCTGGGGAAGACGAGGGGATCTGAGAGTGGACACAGTTGTCCCTGGGTGTCCCCGGGGCCTCTCTGCACCCCGAGAAGGGGGACAGCGGTATCGAGAGGCCCTGGCCTTGCTCCCCCAACCCAGGGACCCCTGGCCCCGCCTCACCGCCCGCCTTTCCAGCCAAGGAGCCTGACCCTCCCTACTCCGTGGAGACGCCCTATGGCTACCGCCTGGACCTGGACTTCCTGAAGTACGTGGACGACATCGAGAAAGGCCACACGCTGCGGCGGGTGGCCATGCAGCGCCGTCCCCGCCTGGGCTCGCTGCCCCGCGGCCCGGGCTCCTGGTGGACGTCCACGGAGTCGCTGTGCTCCAACGCGAGCGGGGACAGCCGCCACTCGGCCTACTCCTACTGCGGCCGCGGCTTCTACCCGCAGTACGGCGCCCTGGAGATGCGCGGCGCCAGCGGCTTCAACCCTCGCGTGGAGCGGACGCTGCTGGACGCCCGGCGCCGCCTCGAGGACCAGGCGGCCGCGCCCCCGGGCCTGGGCTCCCTGACTCCCAGCGCCGCGGGCTCCACCAGCTCCTTGGTGGGAGTGGGGCTCCCGCCCCCCGTGACTCCGCGCGGCTCAGGACTGTCCACGCCAGTGCCCCCCAGCGCCGGGCACCTGGCGCACGTGCGGGAGCAGATGGCAGGGGCCCTGCGGAAGCTGCGGCAGCTGGAGGAGCAGGTGAAGCTGATCCCCGTGCTCCAGGTGAAGCTGTCTGTGCTCCAGGAGGAGAAGCGGCAGCTCGCCGTGCAGCTCAAGAGCCAGAAGTTCCTGGGCCACCCCGCCGGCGCCCGGGCCCGAAGCGAGCTCTGCCTTGACCTCCCGGACCCCCTAGAGGACCCTGCGGCCCTTGATACCCGCAGTGTGGGCACCTGGGTTCGAGAGCGGGACCTGGGCTTGCCCGACGGGGAGGCGGCCCTGGCCGCCAAGGTCGCCGTGTTGGAGACGCAGCTCAAGAAAGCGCTGCAGGACCTGCAGGTGGCCCAGGCCCGGCCGCCACTGGACACTCCCGTGCGTGTGGACACCGTCCGCGTAGTGGACGGGCCACGGGAGGTGGAGGTGGCGGCCAGCACCGCCACCGGGGCACCCGCCCAGCGAGCGCAGAGCTTGGAGGCGTACGGGGCAGGCCTGAGAGCCCTGGTGACTCCCGGGGACAGCGAGAGCCCTGCGGTGTTCTGCAGCCACGAGGTGGTGGAGACCATGTGCCCCGTCCCTGCTGCGCCCACCAGCAACGTCCACGTCGTCAAGAAGATCAGCATCACGGAGCGGAGCTGCGAGGCGGCCACCGGTGAGTGACCGCGGTGGGGAGGACGGGGTGTGGGGTCTCCTCCTACCGTGGCTTAGCCTGGGCCCTCGAACGCCCGGGTCCAGCCCCAGCCCTGGCCTTCCGCCGGCTGGACCACTGCACCTGTTTCTTCATCCGTAAAACTGAGAGCCAGCACGGCAGTGCGTACCTCTCTTCCCAGCACCTGGGAGGCTGAGGCGGGAGAATGGCCGTGAGTTGAAGGTCAGCGTGGAAGCGGCAGGAAACTATCTCAGAGCACTTTAAGCAATGGGAAGGAAGTGAGTTGTTCATATAATTAAGTGACAGCTTTAGGCAAGGCCTATCCAGATGGTCAGATACATCAGGAACGTGTCACTCACAGTATCCTCTGCACTAGAGCCCCCTCTCTCAGGCAGGTGGAGGAAGGAGGCCCTGTTGTTGCAGGACTCTGTCCTGGCAGCTCAGTGCAGAGTGAGCCCCTGAGCTCCATCAAAATCCCCAGGACGGCCAGGCGTAGTGGCGCACTCCCAGCACTCAGGAAGCTGAGCCAGGAGGATCCCCGGAGTTCCAGGCCGGCCTGCACCACCTAGTGAGACCCTGTCTCAGAAAGCAGCAGGAAAGCCCCTAGGGGGGCCCTCATTGGCATCCGAGTCCCTCACAGCTTGGGCTCTGAGGGAGAAGGGCCCTGTCTAAGGAAGCGGGTGCCCCAGAGGAAGTGCTGAACCCTCCTGCCGGGAAAGAGGCTGCTGGGCACGCGGAAAGCCAGCCGTGCCACCACCGCTGCTCTGGGGCCCTGGGAGAAGCCGCGGCGTGATTCATCCTAAGGAGGACAGCTGTCCCTTCTGGAGCGCTGAGCGCTGCGCTGAGGGTTTCACCCAGGGAGGGGCGGAGGAGACGGGCCGCGTGCCAGGCCAGGGCTCCCTGCTCCAATTCCATCTCCCCTTGTGTGACCCGGGTGAGGCCAGCGCCTCGCCGCCACCCCCTCCCCCATCCCGCCTGCCCCTCTAGAACCTTTATGAATCCCGCATTCAGGAAGTGCCCTGTCGGTGCTTCTGCTGATAGTTTTTGGGACAGTCAGACGTCCCACGACCGGGGAGGCTGAGGCAGGAGGATCACTGTGAGTTCAAAGGCAGCTGGCCTACATAGTGAGCTCGCGGCCAGCCTGAATTACATCGCGAGACCCTGTCTCCGGAAATGATGGGCCCTGTTCCTCATCCAGCCCCTAGGGTCAGGTGTCCCCAGACCGGGTCCCCACCCTCTATTCCCCTGGGTCTGTACACCCACTCTGCAGCTCTGCCCACCCAGCCTGGGGACCTCAGAGGCACTGTCCATCCGGACGCGCCTCCCGGGGCAGCCAGGGAACGGACTGACCCCCGCTGTCCCCGCTGTGGGCTGCCGCCCAGAAGTCCTGTCCTGTGTCATGCCTCACTCCTCCACGCTGCAGCCGGCGTGGGCTCTGCCGCCCGGGCAGAACCGGAGCGGGCTCGTTGGTTTCCGTACCGTCTCATGCCGTGAGCGTTTCTGGAGCACCCTTGTTTGCGTGCGCTTTTTTTTTTCCTCTCCGGTGCTGAGGGTTAATGAGCGTGCTACACAAGTGCCCTATCTCTGAGCCGCGCCCTGACCCTTTTTATTTTTCATACTGGGCTAAAGTTGCCCAGTCTGGGCTCAAACTCACAGTCCTCCTGCCTCAGCCTCCCGTAGTGCTGAGCTTACAGCTGTGTGGTGTGCCTGGCTCCGCATTTGTTTAATGCATAAAATCATGATATGTGTTTCTCACGGCTGACAGCAGAGTTGATGGGAATTGCTGTCAGTACTGTTACTATTTTTTGAGCAGTGCTGGGATGGAATCCAGGCCCTTGTGTATTTTAGGCACCTGTTCCACCGCTGAGCTACAGACGTAACACTATCTTGATTTTAAAAAGACATAGGAACCAAACATGGTGGTGCACGCTTGTAATCTCAGCATTCATGAGGCTGAGGCAGGAGGATCCCTTGAGAATTCCAGGCCAGCCTGAATTACATAGCAAGAGCCTGTCTCAAATGAACAAATAAAAATGTATGTAGGGTATGCTGGGGCACTTATTGGATGCCTTTTTTGATATTTGAATACATTTCAGTCCCCAGCAGCCCTGTGAGGTGAGCAGTGGATTTTTTTTGTTTTTTTGTTTTTTGTTTTGGTCTTTTTGAGGCAGAGTGTCGCTATGCAGTTCAGGTTAGCCTTGAGCTCACTGTGTAGCCCAGGCTGGTCTCGAACTCACAACAATCCTCCTGCCTCAGCCTCCTGAGTGCTGGGATGACAAGCGTGCGCCACCACGCCCAGCCCTTATGTTCTTCTGTACCACCGAATCAGCCACAGACCATCGTGTGGAACAAATAAGCAGGATGTGTAGGCGCATGCCTGTGATCCCAACACTCTGGGGGCTGAGGCAGGAGGGTGACGAGTTCCAGCCCACCCTGGTCTACTTAGCAAGACCCTGTCCCAAAACAAGAGGCTTGGGGTTGTAGCTCAGGGTGAAGGTGAAGGCTGTGGGTTCAATCACTGTTCCCCAGAAAAGAGAACGGGAGGGAAAAATGTGTAAAAACCGCCCACAGACGTAGTTTCTCAGTCTCTGCCGCAGCCCACTCACATACCCCACCGCCAGTTCCACTTCTGGCCCATTTATTTTTTAATCTTTATACTTTCTGTTTGAGACAGGCTCTCTCTCTATTGCCCACACTGCCCTTGAACTCCTGGCTCCAAGCGATCCTCCTGCTTCAGCCTCTAAGTAGCTGGGACCACAGCCCCACACCACCGATCCCAGCTCTCTGTCCTATGGAATGTCATCCCCGTCTTCCACCTTCCAGAGGCTGCTTTAGATATTTGGTGTCCTTGAAAAGTATGCCCTGCGTCTTCAATTTCCTTACATGGTATTATGTTTCAGAAAAACAAACTTCTCTCTGTTTCTTATTTTTTTCCCTCCTCTGCCTCTTGTTTTTTGTGGTGCTGGGATGGAAGTGAGGGGTTAGTGCTGCCTAGAGAAACGCTCCACCCCTGAGCTGCTCCCCAGCTCTCGTTTCCCTCCCTACACTATTTTTGTTTGTTTGTTTGTTTGTTTGTTTTGGTACTGGGAATAGAACTCAGGACCTTATGCTTGCCAGGCAGGACTATTTTTTGTTTGTTTTGAGACAGGGTCTCACTATGCAGTTCAGGCTGGCCTTGAACTCACTGTATATCCCAGGCTAGCCTCAAACTTCCGGTGATCCTCCTGCCTCAGCTTCCCGCATGCTGGGATCACAGGCATGCACCACTTCACTCCAGTTATCCTGCTGGTTTTTTTGGCCCAACACTGGTACAAAGTTGTATGTCTTTATTGTTTTACTTTGCGTTTCCCTCCCTTCTGGCGGAATTGACCACCTCCTTGTGTGCTTAATAAGATTCCTCTGTGAGACTTCTGTGTCGCCTTTGTCTATTTCTCTGCGAGCTGTTTCCAGCAAGTCCCAGCACAACCGTCATTGGGACTGGCAGACCGTGGCCACTAGGCGAAGCTGGCCTGCTGCCTGTTTTGTCTATGGCCTGAGCCGAGGATGCTTTTTACTGACTTTTAAATTTTTTACTATGCAGCCCAGGCTGCCTTCACACTCAAGGCCATCCTCCTGCCTCAGCCTCCCAAGAAGGGTGCATCGCCACGCTTGGCAATGACGGGATTCCCTGTTTGAACAAGCATCTGTGCACCTTTCCTGTCAAGGGCCAGGTGGTAAATATTTCTGGCTACATGGCCATCAGATGTCAGAGGAAACTTCAGATTCTGCTATTTTAAGGCCAAAGAGCAAGACCTTATGTAAATGAGTGGCTTGTGCCAATCAATTTGAATTTTTCTCAAGCCACAAAATGTGCCTCCGTTCAAGTTTCTAAATTAGTTTTTTTGTGTGTTGTTGCAGGGCTGGGGGCGGAACCCAGGGCTTTGAGCGCACACTGAGCCACACGCCCAGCCCCGTTTAACCACTCAAAACTGTAAAAGCTGCTGGGCACGGTGAGGCGTGCAGGCCGAGAGCTTGTTTAGCATGCACAGGGCCCTGGGTTCCATCCTAGCCTTTAAAAGAGTTTAAAATGCCTGTAATCTCAGCAGTCAGGAGGCTGAGGCAGGATGACCGCAGAGAAGTTCAAGTCCGTCTGGACTACATAGTGAGACCCTGTCTCAAAAAAACACAAAACAAAGAAAGATAATGCCCAGTCCTTTCTCTGGGTACTGGGGATGGAACCCGGAGGCTCTTGGTGCCAAGCAGGTGCCCACCGCAGAGGTACAACCAGCCCGCTGCCTGTTTCACAGGTGAACTCTGTAGATTAGCTTTGTCTGTGATGTGAGGGGTTTTTTTTTCTTTTTTTTAAATCAAATAGAAGGGGCTGGGGATTTAGCTCAGCGACAGAGCGCCTGCCTGGCAAGAGCGAGGTCATGAGTTCAATTCCCAGTACCGGAGGAAAAAACAAACAAATAAATAAATAAATCAAATAGAGATCTCTATTTTGGGTATAGTTAAATCCATTTCATATTTAATATGTGATTTATACTTTGAGGATCCTTTTTATTTTTGGAGACAGGATCTTGCTGAATTGAACTCAAACTTGTGATCTTCCTGCCTCAGCCTCCCAAGCAGCTGTTTTTGTTTTTGTGTATTTGGTGGGGAGCAGAATTTTGCTATGTAACTCAGGCTGGCCACAAACTCTTGGCGATCTTCCTGCTTCAGCCTTTCAAGTAGGTGGGATTACAAGCATGCCCAGTTTATTCTCTTTGAAAATTAGCTTAGAAGATAAAAAAAATAAAAATTAGCTAAGTGTGGTAGCACATGCCCATTATCCCAGCACACAGGAAGCTGAGACAGGAGGAACACTGTGAGTTTGAAACCAGCTTCAGCTTGGGCTATGTAGTGAGTTCAAGGCCAGCTGGATTACAAAGTGAAAGCCTGCCTCAAAAGGAAAGAAAGAAATCATAGTTCATCATGAACTTTAGTTCCTCTGTATAAATTTTGCATCAATTTTCCCTATTCCCTGTGGAAGAATAACAATAAAGAG